GCTGATAAAAAACAGGTTTTTTTTTTACACTGAAGGACTGATGCTACAATCAGCATGTGTAGGAAAGCTCTGTTCTTGTCTGATTGGAAGGCGTGAGTGGGTGGTCAATTACCCACTAACTTTTTCCATTCATTTATGAGTAATCCATTTTTTTTTTTCAACTCCTCATTTTCCATTAATATAAGAAAGCAAAAGAAAAGGTTACAAGCAATCATTATAAAACTAAGTTGTCTCACTTACTATTATTTTAATCCAGATATATAATGATCTAATTTTGGCCACTCAAAATTGGCATTAATAACTAATCAATTCATACACCTGGAAACACTCTTGAACTCATCTTGACTAATCTCTGCACCACATCTAATCTGTCAAATGTTCAATTTCCTCTATCTGACCATCGCCAGTTGACCTTTGTTATTAGCCTATCACATACCAAACTTAAAACACCTAATGTACATCAATCTCATAGAAACCTCCATTGTCTTGATCTACAGCAATTCTCCACTAATTTCCAAATTCTCCTTTTACCTATCGCAAACCAGTACCTGCCCTACTGCGATCAGGGAAGAGATTTTAAATCTCCTCTTTCACAATTTAAATGCTCTTCTCTGCTCTCTTGCAGCTCCTCCATCTACTAACACACAAATTTCACAACTCACTTAAAGGGACACTGTACACATGACATCCAGGACACTAAGCGGAGACTCACACGAGTCCGCTTAAGACACAATACCCAACACAAGACGTAGGGACCTGAACGTCGCCTAACAATAAAGGTTGGATAAGAGGTCTGCGAGCCTCAACACAAATATAACACGAATCACAGCTGCTGTACAAGAAACATATAAACCACATAAACACGATTCAATTAGTAAAACAAATGGCAGATGGTAAAATGTACATGAAGTTACTTGTGAAACTGGAAAATAGGGACTTGCAAGTCCGTCAACATTGTGGGCCTGCGAGCCCAAACATACATTAATGTTTTCTAAAATTATGACTACTCACCTTAGAGACCTGCGAGTCTCCAACCTTTACGTAAGTAATATAAATAAAAATTATATTCACAAAAAAAAAGGGACACTGTAGGCTCCCAGACCACTTCTGCCCATTGGTGTGGTCTGGGTGCCAACTCCCACTACTCTTAACGCTGCAAGTGTAATTATTGCAGTTTTTTATAAACTGCAATAATTACCTTGCAGGGTTAACTCCAGCTCTAGTGGCTGTCTATTAGACAGCCACTAGAGGGCACTACCTGCATCATAGCACAGAAAATATGTGCTAGAGCGTCGCTGGACATCCTCATGATGTGAGGACCTCCAGCGTCACTCTATTCCCCATAGGAAAGCATTGAAAAGCATTAGGTCTCCCCGGCTGGTGGGCGGGATCAGTCTCGCCCACCGGCCGTAATACAGAGGTAATGCAGCGGCTGAGGAAGAAGCAGTGACATGGGACATGTCGCTGCCTCTGGTAAGTTACTGAAGGGGTTTTCACCCCTTCAGCAACCGGGGATTGGGGGGTGGGAGGGAGAGGGGACCTGCAGTGCCAGGAAAACTGATTGTTTTCCTGGCACTGGAGTTTCCTTTTAACTGAGATGATCAGGGAACAGATTTAAATCCACTCTTTCCCATATTCTATACACATGCATACCCAGTGCACAAGAAGAGATTTCTGCTCTTCTTCGCCTCAGTAGTTGATACAAAGGTGAGCCAGGGCTTTTATATGGAAAGCTAGTCATTGGAATCTTTTGAATACTGAATCTCTTCCATGGCCCTTACTTATTCTTAATGGATTAGATCTGATTTCGATTGGCTGGGAAGAGCTGCCACATTAAGAAGGTAAAGGAGAAGGAAGCGGAAGCTCCTGGTAATTGCTGCACTGGAAGAGGGAAAAATGAAGGAGTCCCTGCTTCCCCTACAACCAACTGCATCCACTCCCCCTTCCTGCCATAATGGAAAGAGGTAAGTCTGTGTGTGTGACTGTCTGTCTATGTGACTGCCTGCCTGTGTGTGTGACTGTCTGCCTGTGTGTGTGTGTGTGTGTGTGACTGTCAGTCTATGTGACTGTCTGTGTGAGTGCCTCCCTGTGTGTGTGTGTGTGACTGTCTGACTGTCTGCCTGTGTGTGATGGTTTGCCTATGTGTGTCATTGGCAGAAGCTCCTGGTAATTGCTGCACTGGAAGAGGGAAAAATGAAGGAGTCCCTGCTTCCCCTTCAACCAACTGCATCCACTCCCCCTTCCGGCCATAATGGAAAGAGGTAAGTCTGTGTGTGTGACTGTCTGTGTGTGTGACTGCCTGCCTGTGTGTGTGACTGTCTGCCTGTGTGTGTGTGACTGTCAGTCTATGTGACTGTCTGTGTGAGTGCCTCCCTGTGTGTGTGTGTGTGTGACTGTCTGACTGCCTGCCTGTGTGTGTGACTGTCTGCCTGTGTGTGATGGCTTGCCTATGTGTGTCGTTGTTTGTGTGTGACTGCCTGTCTGTGTATCACTGTCTGTGTGACTGTCTGCCTGCTTGTGTGTGTGTGTGACTGTCTGTCTGTGTACCTGCCTCCCTGTTTGTGTGACTGCCTGCCTGTGTGTGTGTGACTGCCTGCCTGTGTGTGTGTGACTTTCTGCGTGTGTGTGTGTGATTGTAACTGTGTGACTCCAATTGTGAGTGTCGCTGTAGCTGTGCCATTGTGTGTGCCTGTATGTGTGACTTTCTGCCTTTAACTGAGTGTCTGTGTGCCTATCAGCGTGCGTGAGTGTCTGCATGCTTGTAATGGAGTATGTATGACTGTCTGTTTGTGACTGTCTGCCTGTAACTGTTTGTGATTGTGTGCCTGTAACTGCGTGTGACTGTCTGCCTTTAACAGTGTTTTTGGCTCTGTGACTGTCTGCCTGTAACTGAGCATGTGTGACTGTCTGCCTGTAACTGTGTGTGTGTGTTTGTGTGTGTGTGTGACTGTCTGCCTGTAACTGAGCGTGTCTGACTGTCTGCTTGTAACTGTTTGTTTGACTGTCTGCCTGTATGTGTTAGTGTATACAGGAAACTTGGTGGGGGGGGGGGTGCAGTGAAGACTTTTCGCACAGGACATCTAAGGCCGGCCCTGTGCACCCCGACCAAGTACCTCCGTCAATCGCTGCTTCCTAGTACTTGCGAGTACCATAAGCACTGCACTGGAACACCATAACCACCGCAACCCCCCGAACCGCCGCAGCTTGGTTGGGGTTTCGCCGTCCTCCACCCACCCTGGACCCAAGACCAGGATCCAGCTTCCAGTAGGTAGACCTCTCCTAGTCCAGAGAGCATAGCAGGAACAGCTCTTAGAAGGGGAGTATTGTGATATAGCAATTCTCAGAGTGTATATAGTTCTCCAATCCCCCAAAAATAAGCCAAGACTTCATGAAGGGGTAAAGCATTCTGTTTAATGGAAGCCACAGCTGGCCTTTTTATGCAAGTCCCCAAGCAAGGTGTACACCCACATGGACCTTGTTGGGGACAGGGACACAAGCTTACAAACCAATAATAACACATTTACAATGTAAGGCACTCCCATACATAGCACACAACCCCTCCCCTCTGCTAGGGAGATAATTGGATCAATAACTGTACTAATTCTAATCCAATTATCTCCAAGCACAGAAAAAACATACTTTTTTAAAACACCCTAAAAGTACCCTAAAAATACATAAAACCCCATTACATCCCCTGAGAGCCCTGATCTGGGTGACCAACATATGCAAAAATCACCCAGATCAGTTCAGGAATTCAGGAATTTCCTGGAATTTCTTATTTTTGACCCAATGTGCACATGGTCCCATGCCCAAAACGGTTCCAGAAAATTATGGCTAACGGTCGGTCTCTCTGTCTGGAGTACAAAAGTACATACCTCACATGAACAGATACTTTTAAAGTGCATTGGGCAAGGTATATTGCAGGGCCCATAGTCCTGCGGCAAGAGGCTGGCCAGCAGCCCCTTACAAAAGCCAGTGACAAGGTTATTTTCGTCACACCACCGACCCATAGTCCCGAGGCAAGAGGCTGGCCAGCAGGCCCCTACAAAAGCCAGTGATGAGGTTACACCACCGACTAATTAATGTATAGTTAATTAAATGTGTAAAATATGAAGAAAGAGAAGTGCCTTGATATATTTCTTGAGGTAATATAGTGTAGTATATCTTGTATTAAATGATAATATAAGAAGTGAAAATTCACTTAGTTTGTAGAGCTGAAGTAGCTCTATCTAGATATGCTTGGGTGGTACAGTCCCTGCCAAGGGATGTGCAGTCTCTTTTATTAAAGTTCTTCTGTGCAAAGGACCTTCAATCAGGTATGGTGGCTCAAGATAATATCCACCCTACGTGAGGGTCTCTCAGGTTTGTTGGTGAATTAGTAGTATATTTAAAATATATATATTTATAGTGCTCACTGATGTCACTGATGTTACATTACACCGATAACCATTAGGAGAGGTGCTCATAAGTAAAGAACAAAAATCAGGTTTTTCTCAATCCACAGCACCCAGGTAGTATTTTCCCCACCAAAGAAATGTATGGTCCCAGGCTCCAAAAGAGATCAGGATTAAGTTCAAAGAAGTTAAATTAACTACTTTATTCAATAAATTAATAAAAGCAATGCAAAGTAGAAAAAACACAACACGTTTTGCCAGTAAAATGCTTTTTAAAAAACTGTAGAGCTCACATACAGTTAGGTCTGGAAATATTTGGACACTGACACAATTTTCATAATTTTTTTTTTTTTTAAATTTCTTTATTTTATTATGTGAAAGTTTATAACATTCGTGTGTGAGGTACCCCAAAGGCAACCCTCCAGCGCATTAAAACAACCAGACACCCAGAAACATACACATTTATTTTTTTCCTAATTAAGCTATAAAGTCTATGGATTTACATTCCTAAGGTGTTAATATAGTATACCATAAAGTTATTAACGTTAGGGCATAGCTTTTATTTATTTAATTTATAGCATAAAAAAAAGACAAAAAAAGGGAAGAAAAGACAAAATAAACAAAAAAGAACAAAAAAAATCATCAATATAACTGTTTAAGGCAAGGATATACTGGCAGTATAATGTAATGTAGGCACTGTGTAGCGTTAGACACCGAAAGTTTCCACGTAAAGTACAACGTTTCCATTGAAAACCATCGTATGCACGATGTATACTTCAATCACGCTACATTTGTCCAATGCCAACCACTATCAAAAGGAGTTCACACCAAAGGTTTCCATGGTATAGCTGTCACATTGATAAACATACTCAAAAAAACCAAAACAATTATAGTAGAAATAAATTAAATTCTCTGAGACTCAACATGGGGGGATCACAGTCTTTGTTATCTTATATGCTGTCTATTTGTCCCGGGTAACCATAATTTGGCCACATCTCTAGTGCCAAAAAAGGGGTTTAATTCCATCCTGTGCTGATAATCTATTTGCTCCATAATATTGTGCCTTATTAATGGGATAGAAGATTTCCAAGCCCTAGCTATACACATTTTAATGGCAAAAAATATATGGGTCAAAAGATATTTTTGATATTTATCTTGCGAAGGAAAGCCAATGTTAAAGTTGAGGGCTAATTTCTTTTATCTCCTTAAAAATAGAATTGATAAGACCAAGCATTTGAGTTTTTGTTATTAAGACCCTGACACTCCCACCATATATGATAATTAGTGCCCTCCTCATTTCCACATCTACAACAATTCCTAGAATATACAGATGATATTTTATAAAGTCAAGCCGGTACCATATACCATCTGTATATTATCTTTAAATGTGTTTCATAGAGAGAGACGCTATGTATACAGCGCTTAACTAGGAGTGTAGCTTTAGTCCATTCCAGAAGTGGAAAGGATTTCCCAATATCTTGTTCCCATGAGTAACATGAGAGTCTTGTTTCATTGATTCTAGCAATTTAATAAATCTAGAGATCCCTCCCTTCTTTTTATATAATATAATAAGGGGATTAACATTGTGGTCCTTAAGTATAGTCCGAGATAGTAGACAATTTTTAATCCTTAGATATTGAAAAAGATCTCTAGGGGAAAGATTATATTTTTCTTGCATTTGTATAAATGGGATGGGTTTAAACCCATCCCATAAATCCAAGATCTTCACTATGCCTAGGTGTGTCCAGGATTGAACATTTATATTATCCATTGCATGTTGTAGGACTACTAATGGAACCCTATATAATAATTTATCTTCTAGCTTCAATTTTTTATTTAGGATTTTGGAGTTATTAATCATATCTATCAGTATTCGTTCGAAAAATGCTTGGTATCCAGTTCACCTAAATTCAACATATCCATCCAAAAAAGAATAAACAATTTATATCTGGGGCTATCCTCCTGTTCTAGAGTAAGCCATGATTTATATCCCTGTTCCTTGTCTAGCCACTGTAAAAGGTGAGTCGCCATACATGCTTCATGAATTTTATCAACATCTGGAAATGCTATTCCTCCCTTCTGATAACTCCTTCAAAGGGTGTCAAAAGCTATCCTAGGTGGTTTATTTGCCCAAATACATTTTGAAATCAGAGTTTGAAAATGGTTAAGAATACCTTTCCCCAATCTATAAGGAATCGCCCTAAGATAGTATACAAGTTTAGGTATCAAGAATGCCTTGATCATATTTAATCTTCCTATCCATGAGGACTCAATCTTCCTCCATTTGTCTACCAGTTGTTGCAAATCTTTTAATAAATTATCATAGTTCGTTTGTATCATCCTCTCTATATCAAAGGATATTTTAATCCCCAAATAGCCAATAGTATTTTTTGCCCATAAAAGTTGGAAATGTGCAGTCAGAAGATCTTTCTGGGCCTCAGATAAAAAAGAGGCTAAGATTTGTGTTTTTTTCATATTGACCTTATAGTTAGAAAAACTACTATAGATAGATATAACATCCAGTACCGATGGAATTGAAACCATCGGATCTGTCAGGATAAGGAGGACATCATCTGCAAAGAGGGAACCCTTGATTTCCCCATTGAGAGACTTGACCCCCTTTACATTAGTATTCTATCTGATCAAGGTGGCCAAAGGTTCAATTGTAAGAATATATAACAGGGGAGCCAAAGGGCAACCCTGTCTAGTACCATTTTTGACCTCAAAATGGTCAGACTCAACAAAAGAATTAACTATTTTAGCTGTAGAGCTCCTATATAACAACATAGTTTTATGTCTAAACTGACCCTCTGTGCCAAATTGGCCCATGTCAGAGTCAAGGAATCTCCAATTGACTCTGTCAAAGGGCTTTTCAGCATCGAGGGCCATAATAACAGATCCCCATTTATGCTCATTTATTCTATGTATTAAATTAAATATCCTACGTGTGTTATCAGTAGTACCTCTCCCTCGCACAAATCCAGACTGATCAACATCAATCAGTTCTCCAATTACCTCTTTAAATCGATTGGACAATATTTGAGAAAATATTTTCATATCTAAATTAATAAGAGATATAGGTCTATAGTTAGTAATAAGTGTTAGGTCTTTCCCTACTTTGGGTATAGGAATGATTGAAGCCAATAGCATGTCATTGGGGAAAGGGGTATCCGCGGATACCTTTGTAAACATCTCTAAAAGGATAGGGGAAATAAATCTAAAAAAGGTTTTATAGAACATTGTTGAAAAACCATCTGGGCCTGGAGCCTTATTCAATTTTAACTTATCTATTGCTTCAATTACTTCTGATAATAAGAATGGGGCATTCAGCATTTCCAACTTCTTTTGATTAATTTTTCGTAGTTTAAGGTTACTCAAAAATTTATCCATTTCTTCTCTACTCTTCCCTACCTCCTCTAGGTTATATAAGGATTTATAAAATTCCACAAATGCATTTACAATGTCCTTTGGTGAGGTTAAATGTTTATCGCCTAAAACGATTTTTTTTTATAGATTTATCATTAAGGTTATTTTTGATTTTATTAGAAAGATCTTTGTTTATTTTATTATTATGGTACCATCTTTGTATAAGGTATAGTATATTTTTATTGACCATGTCATAAATTCTGTCTTTGATAATTTCCCTTAAGTTAGCTATTTCTTCAATTAAATCTTTATTCGCCATATTTTTATTTAGACGTTCCTTATTTGCCAATTTTATTAACTCTTGCAAAGATTCTCTCTTCTTCCTTTTAAATTCAGAGCCAAGTTTAATCAATAATCCCCTTATATAACTTTTAAGGGTACACCATACCATTGCAGTAGGAACTTCCCCGTTATCATTGGTAATCAAAAAGTTTTCAATTTGAGATGACAAAAAATCAATGTTGCACTCTGAGTTCAAAAGGCTTTCGTTAAGTCTCCACCTTGTCCTTGGTCTAAGACCACCTTTTAACTTAACCTTAATGAATACTGGTGCATGATCCAACACAACTATAGATCCAATATTGGATTTAATAATAGAACTTAAGAACCCAGCTTTCACCAGAAACATATCTATTCGAGAATAGGTCTGATGGACATTTGAAAAAAAGGTTATAGTCTCTCTCACTAGGATTCAAAGTCCTCCAACAGTCAAATAGAGAATTCCTGACTAGAAATTTAGAAAAATCAGAAACATAGATATTTACAGATTTGTAATCTCTAACATTTTTATGGCTTTTATCCCGTGTTGGGTCCAATACACAATTAAAGTCTCCCCCAATTATGATATTACCACATGCTAGTTCGTCGACCTTTTCCATAATTTTATCCAAAAAGTCCCCTGGGCACAAGTTTGGTGCATAAATATTGACCAAAGTATATATAATACCATTAATTTTTGCAATGAGTATCACATATCTTCCCATTGGATCCCCAGTTAGGTGTATCATTTCAAAATTAATTCTGCCAGAGATTATGATAGCAGTGCCTCTTTTTTTTTATTCCCCTCCATATTAGAAGAAAATATCAACGGGAATTTCTTAAACTTCCAGAGTCTCTCTGGGGGATTAATCCAGTGTGACTCTTGAATAAAAGCAATATCAATATCATTTTCATTTAGAAATTTATAGACCGCTCCCCTTTTCTGTGGTGAATTCAAACCCTGGACATTCCATGATATCACATTAAGTGCCATCATAGCACCTATTGTCCTGATTACACCACAAGTCGAGTCTCAGAAAAATAAGAGAGAAAAAACAAAAACAAAAAAAAAATACACATTTACATTATAAAATATATAAAACATAAAAATACTTCAAGAGGGGGAACAAACCCCCTCTTGGTAATCCAGTGGGGAAACATATACATATATATATATATGAAGCCCCCTGAACGAGACCTGCCCATAATTGCAGGAATAGAGACCCTAGCGAGAGGAGGAAGGCCTCCAAACTCTTCATAAACCAAACGGCATTCCGAGTATCTAACCTAAGATCGGTCATATGTCAATCCATAATGCTATCAACTTAAAATATCTGACCATACTAGCCCCTAAGGCCATATCACAATGAGTTACTAATATGACTCTACTTGATGTATTTTACAACTATCCGTTATGATAGTACCAATCTCCCTCTCCTCCCCCCTCCCTCAATCATTATAATTCCAAAATATAATATGAAATGTGGAACATATTCCAGGAAAGAAGCAAAATAAGGAGACCTATGTATTTATAACTACCTGAACCAGACCTGCCTGTAATTGCAGAAATAGGAACGCTAGCAAGAGGAGAAAATTCTCCAAACCTCATCAAAAACCAAACAGTATTCCAAATATCCGACCTTTATTAAACACTATAACCTTCAATAGATCAGTTAGTTTTGTCTAGAGTATTGGATCACATTGGTTTAAAGAACCGTGTTACATTAAATTGCTATTCTAATTCTGTTTAACATGTCTCTCCAGCTCTTGAATATGATAGTACAAGTCCTCCCTCTCCTTTCCCCTCCCTTAGCCATTCTATCTACATAATTCCTTGATATATACATACATAGTCCGACTCCCCCTATCTATTGTGATCAAAATCATCTTTACCTCTTATATATTATCTTACTGTTGCCAAATCTCTTCACCTCCTTCACCCCCATTAATACCCACATAACAACCACAATTTTATCTTAGGTGAATAAACCCATACTATGAAATTGTACTACCACTCGTGTATAGATAACTTACTTCCATTCTTATTAATACTGAATAATATCAAATCATAACTATTGTGACCAAAGCTTGTGTTACTACAAAATACAAATGTAGAATCTCTAAAAAATTCCTTAATGTCAGACTCCATGATTGAAGAAGTGTACTAATAATATCACGTTATACCTATTGTGATCAAAGCAGTATTAATACAAAATATGTGAAAAAAAAACTCTA